CTTCAAGTGCCACGGCGAGGCGTGGGTCTGCGACGCGATGCCGAACCCGCGGCAGCCGCTGGCGGCGCACGAGATGCCGCCGTTCCGCACGCCGTACCTCATCCACCGCGACAACACGCAGTGGGACGCGCAGAGCCCTGCGACGGCGGCCCTCTTCTTCGTGCGCAAGTTCGACCGGGTCCGCGTCGTCATCTACGAGTACGCCACCTTCGGCTACGTCGACCTTGACCTTATGGGGTTCGAGGAGCTCTGGCGCGCGGAGCCGAGGCCCGCTGCTGCTGTCGACGGCATGGACGGCTTCAACGTAGTGGAGAAGTGGTTCCCGCTCAGCGGTGGCACGCTCAGCGAGGGCGAGCTGCGTCTACGCCTCTTCCGCGTGCCGACGAACGCGGCGCTGAGCGCACGCGAGAAGATAGTGGCGAATGTGAACAAGGATCGGCGGCGCCGGGCGCGCGAGTTAGAACAAAGGAGAGAAGAGGTCGCGCGGAAGCGGTACAAGCAGAGCTGCAGTGTGATGTAAAAGTGAAAGCGAGGGAAGGATGGGAGGAGGAGGAGGAAGAGGGAGGGGGGAGAGCCGCTTTGCAGGTGGTGATGTAGTTGCTGGGTTTATTTCCGGTCATTGTCTAATTACTGCCTGTTCATTGGTGCGTTCAAGTGGCTGCTTGCGCCCTTAGAGTGTAGTGAATATTCGTGCAGGATGCGCGAAGCACATCGTACCAGTCCGATGCCTTGACATCTTGTTTTTTTATTTCGCTGTTGTTTGCATTCCATCTCTTGTTGTGGATATTTGCGACTGTACCAATGCTGGCGTTGCACATGACGGCTCGCGTCGCGACGCCTGCCCCGGTAGAGTGGGGCGGAGCGGGGGGCGTGGGCGGCAGCAGCAGCATCGCAAAGACGAATGAATAGAATGGGCGCCAAGAGGCCGTACCCCAGGTCACTCACACCCGCACTGTCGGGGCTGTTNAATGCTGGCGTTGCACATGACGGCTCGCGTCGCGACGCCTGCCCCGGTAGAGTGGGGCGGAGCGGGGGGCGTGGGCGGCAGCAGCAGCAGCAGCAGCATCGCAAAGACGAATGAATAGAATGGGCGCCAAGAGGCCGTACCCCAGGTCACTCACACCCGCACTGTCGGGGCTGTTCAAGTGCCATGCATGCGGCAATTGTTCCTTGCACCAACGCTGTCTCTGCTACAACTCCATACTCGCAGCTTACTCTTACTCCCTCCTTCCCACGTCGTTTTTTTTTTTTGTTGTTTTGGTGTTGTTTGCGCTTGTTTTGTCTTACTCTCGTTCAGGTGTGAGGGGAAGTCGATAATAATAAGAAAAAGGTCCAAGCAGGTGCGCAATGTCGGATGAGGAACCGCAAGACATAAAGCTCGAACTTGAGAAGAAGTGCCTGGCGAAGGACTGCAGTCACAAGGTGGTCGCCTACAACGAGTGCCTCGAGCGCATTAAGAGCATCCCCTCAGAAAAGGAGCCACACTGTTACCATCAGTACTTTGGCATTGTTCACTGCGTAGATGAATGCGTGGACCCGAAGCTATGGCCCACGCTCAAGTAAGTGGCATCATGATAATGTATAGGTCGTAGACTGGCAGTGTGTGTGTGTGTGTGTGTGTCGGTGGATTGCGTCCATGGACGTGCGTCTGTGTGTGGTCGTGTGTCTACTAGTTAGCGGATAGGAGGAATAGGCAGGCGGGTGGTGTCACTTTAGGGAAAACCGTGGACGGTAACATGCAAGGGGAAAAGAGGGGCGGTGGTGAGCGCGAGTGAGAGTGATAGAATGGAGGGAGAAAGGGACGTCTGTGACGACTTTGTTATGGCGTTGCCTGAGGAAGGGGCGGTGGGGCCTGTGCACTTGTGCACGCAATGATGCTAGCAATGATAATAATACTCAACTGCGTACCGTTGCGTCTGCTCGCTCCATTCATGACTCTTCGTTTCTGTTCTTGTGTTGCGTTGCGCGGCGTGTGTGCCCGCCAGCTCCCTGGCGAGCTCGCGTGCCGGCGCAGAGCGGTTTTTGTTTTGTTTTTAGTTCGGGCCGCCGCAACCACCCACACACATACACACAGGGGGAGGGGCGAGGACCGCGCAACACGGAAGAAGACAACCAGCACGGAAAGGGAGAAGGGCGACCGACAGCTGCATTCCAGCCGGCGCACCGACACACTGCACCGTGCCCAATCGCTCAGAGCGGGGCGAAGTAGCAGA